TCTCGAAGATCAATGTTTGATTATATGTGAGTTTCATTAGTTTCTCTTGTCTCCTCCCCTCTTTGCGTCTCCCTCATTCCTCCCACCATCTGTCCCACCTGCGTCACCCTAATTTTCTCGGCTCTCGTTTTCTTGATACGATCGAGTCCAGAATAGACGCATGTGGCTATACCGGTTGACTGGAACAATTGATGAGCCCATCATTGTAATAAAAGGTTCTCACGTTGCCTAAAGTGAAGTGGAGGTCCCCGTTCAACTGAGTTGCGACGATTCACCAGTTCTTGTATGATCTGCCATGAGTTCAACGATGGATTTTATGCTCTGGCTTTCTCCAACAATGCCAACGCTACCCACCTACTGCCATTGTGTTGAGTTCCCTTTGTCACAAAAGTGCAGGGCTCGCTATGGACTACCATTTATCTATCAAGTCACTACTACCAATCTCGAAAATTAGTTGTCCGTCCGATTCCTCCTTAATTTGATCCTCCTACTGCTTATCCGCTCTCGGTCAGAACCAGCGAAGAATCTCAATATGGTCGTTCAACGAAAGCTGAAAACCAACCTAGCCGAAGCAGTCAATCAAAAAGCGCGCAGGAGAAGAAGCACCCTTTTTAAAAAAGCCTCTGAGTATTGCTCTGAATGCGATGCCGACATCCATCTCATTCTTCGGATGAAGAAATCCGGGAAGATCTTCGTTCTGACTTCAAACTCAAAAGATTGGCCTCTTTCCCAAAACCAATTAGTAAGTTCCTCTGGATTGTCCATTTCGCCGCAAGAAAGGTATTAACTTGGTTCCAAGAGGTCTTATCATCCTACACCAATCCAAAGGTCTCTGGATGACCCAGAACTCAAGCCGTAGAACTCTACCATGCTGTCAACAGGTGTCACCCTCAATTGGATGATTCTACGTACAAGACGCCTCCTGAAAGTTTTCGTCGACAACCTTGCAACCTCGACGGCTTCCAAAGCTGTTTTTCTGTTATCTCTCCGAGGAAAGGCTTAAACTCTCACGGACTTCTGTCGTGCTCTAGCTTCACTTGGGAAGTGACTGAAAGCCGGGATGGGTCTCAAAATAGCGCATATTTCTCTAGACACCCCAGCTAATTATTTTATATGAAAATCATGTTGACTAAAGGGACATGCAATGGGTTTGCCGTCTCAAAGCAAAAAGGCTGTAGGAATCAGTGGTATGTACTCCTCGGATTTTGGTATTCGCTACGCCTAACCATATAAAACTGTCTTTATTTAACCTACTTGTATCCATTCTCATATCCCAGGGTACCCGTAGTAGACAGAATTGCAGGGCCGTGGCCTGGCTGCTGGACCAGGATACCTTCAGTAGGCTGAAACAGGAAGGGATTGTGCCAAACATTGTTTGACGGCAAATATTGGTGCTAATAGTACAAGACTTGTTTAATGACATATTCCCTGTACCTTTCTGACTGTCCTTTATATTTACCTTTTATTATATCCTAGTCTCCGAGTCTTTCATTGACCTATCGCGCCGACATATCGATGTCGACCATATTCAGTTAGAAAGCGCAGAGTCGCATTCCCTCCAAGAATATTCACCAATTACACCATCTAGACTATTGCCAAGTCAAGCATCGTGGCCGAGCAGTCGCTAGCTAGCCCAGCGGTACCCGATCATAGCTGCCCGCCATGAAGCCACAAGCCCGCTGCTCCGCTGCCGAGCAGCTCTTCCTTGGCGCGTTACTCAGACATCGAACTTTAGCGAGAATCTCGATAGACTCAGGTCTAGCGTAGGCAGGGAATCGGAGGATTCAGTTGAAGAGGTGCTTGGGTGACCCTCGGAGAGTGATCGCGTAGGAGAAGCGTCTCCAGGCGATTTGATGTTTTCGCTTGACGACTCGCGTAGCGGTCCGTGGTATCCGTGGGTGCAGCTTGGCCGCAAGGAAAGATGTGGTATCTCCGTTTGGGCAACTACAGGTTGCACTGTCACCTCCGGTGCAACAACTGAATTTGGAAAACTGATGTCCACGAGATTCTTATCGCTTGAGTGACGCTGCTCCTCGGTTCCATACGGACGGAGGGAGAGGGGACCGTTCACCAGCGACTGGAAGCGGTTGAGCACGGAGACCTCCAATTTCAGCTTTATGCTGTACACCACCGTCTTGAAGCTCACTTGAATGTAGTGTAGCTTGTACTCCGTGAGGAGGAGGAGAACGTTCAGGATGACGACAATGGTGTTGATACAAAGTAGATGGATGATCGCGTTGCGGCCGTCGCGACCGCGAACTTCAATGATAGACTTCAATGTACGCACTGCTTCGTATATGTAAATGCCGCAGATGACGAAATCTTGTATGCAGAAGCCCGTCAATTGGATTCGGTCGAATATCGCTGCAGGACGAGCGAAACGTGTATCGCCGTTGTTGAGACCGAAGAAGAGGACGGTCATAGGAATATGTAGAATGCAGACGTTGATGACGATCATCCATAGAACCCAACGCATCTTTCTCATATCGGAGACGAGGAGGTGCAGACGCGAGTAGAGTACGACGGCTTGGCCGGTGACCATCGCGTACCATCCGATCATGAAGGGGATTGACGTCGCGAGATTGGATGCTTGAGAAACGAAGCGAGCCATGGCAGGAAGGGCGTGCACGAGAATCCCCCAGGATGCAACCTGTATACTCCAGAAATACAGGCTGCGGTAGTGTTTGAAGGTATCGAATGCGACAATTGCTGTTTCTAGAGCATTGTATGCGCCAATCGAGAACATGGACACAATCTGAATGATTGAGACGTTCTCCATAAGGATGGCTCCCACTTGTGGAGGTAGGCTGGTCATGACTGTATCCATAATCACATAGGGATTACCACGAGTACAAAGAAGTTGGAACTTTGGAAGATGAACGGGGTCAGTAGCTAAATTTATTTCAACCTCATGGAACCAAGAAATAAGTGTCCTGGTAATGAGCTCATGACATGGAAGCTAGAGAAGGTTACTTCAGAAGCCATGAAGGTGTCTGGACTCTTATCGACTCGCAGGAGTAAGCTTGGTTGGAGTCCAGAGGTCTGAATGTATTTGATTGGTTGGGTGGCTCGAAAGCAGGGTGATCTAAACTCTAGAGCTGCGAAGCATTCGATTGATTTTCATTCACGCCCTTTCATGTTTGACGCAAAGCAAATGTTTCCACAGCGACTGAACAATGACATGTTCTAGTGCACCTAGAAGGAAGGACCCTTGGACTCAATTCATAGGAGAAAGTTAATCTCACAACGAGGGTGGAACCAAGAGCAGGACCGTCGATCATTAAAATCATATGGACAAATCGTTTTTGATGAGCCACGGAAACGCTCGGTCGGGGAAAAACGTGATTGTTCATGAATGATTGGGATTTAAGCTTCAATTTAGTCAGATAGCTGTTGGATCCCCTGTACTGATGGTATTGTCCTGTCACCCTGATACGCACTACTCATGCATTAGGGTTAGACCTGTATCTATAATACTGGGTCATGACCCACAAAACTCTATAACAATACTGGTGACGCGCGCTTCGCACGCTGATGCCCTGAAACGATGAAAAGGAAAGGCAGGTATAAGAAGTTAAACTCCTTGATTTGCCTGACTGATACTTGCAACGGAAGTGAGCATTGACCAATGAGGAGGTAGAAAGTATCTGACTAATAGCCGCAACCTATCGTCGCTAACAAAATTCTCCCTGAATACTAAGCCATGATGATCAATCCGATAGCCGAAGCATATGCCCAAAAAATCCAAGAAGTAAGCCCTGTTGAGAATGCAATAGCTCCCCCCGTTGACCCTACACCCGGGAATGAATTTGCAGTTGAGCCCCCTGCCTGTGACTGCGTTGTACTCGTTGGTAGTGGTGATGATGGTTCGGGTTCCGGCGTCGACAAAGAATCACTGTACCTTGAACTCGTGGAGTCCGCTGTGATAAGCGGTGATTCGGATGTACTAGTATAGATCGTTTCGTCTGGAGTGAAGGTAGATATCGGGGGATATGAAAGAGGCGGTGGAGCGGTTGGAAAAGTAGGGAGGTTGACTTGGAGACAGTAGTTACCACCAGCCGGGGGACATTCAAATCCAATATGGCAGCAAAAGCCCCCTGCGCATGTTGGTCCATAACACGTCCCCCGACAATAAATTTCACCCCTGGAGGTAACGCAAGGCTCGTCGCTTGGGCAGCATGCTTCTTGTCCGGGACACCATGTATATGGCCCCCACCCCGTTGGACACACGTATTCGTCCCGCGCTATAAGATTCCCAGTAACAGTTGGGGCTACTGCTAGGGGCAGGTCAGTAGCATATGCTACCGTGAAGCTCAAGAGAAAAAGAAGAGCCCACTGCAGGTACATGGTATAGGGTGTGTCTTAGGAATGCAAGTTTGGATAGGGAGATGAAAATCAGGAGCTGGAAGCGACAGCCAGTACACTATGTACGTGAAGGGGGGAACAAGGCAATGAAGCCATGGGTTCAATACGCAGTGCTTGCAGCATGGATGTAACCTATATTCGAACCTTAACTGTCGTAATACCTTCTCAGCTCTCAACTGTCGTTGTTTGTTGCTAATCCCACCCTCGAATGGTTCACTTGTACCTCGAGCCGCCTTGGCGTTGTCTTGGCATTGCTTTAATGCACCTCAGCCCCACTGCTAACTGGAGGCAGCCTAGTGCTTATCCAACACCGCCACTAGTGGGCAGAATGAGGAAGCATAACGCGAACATCCCGGGCGAATACGAGAACTCTGGGACCATGACTCCATAGTGGATCTTACCCTGTCGTTAGGCAGAGTACGATGAGATCAATGGGGACTTGGTCGGTCTGCTCCCACCCCAACGATCTTGACATTTCTGACTCCTTGGACATCAAGGGGAGGAATCAGACACGCGCCTCTCGATGTTCACTTTGGCGATACAGACCGGTTGACCAAAAGCTTCGTGTCTTCCTATATTCATCCTTACGCCTCGGAAGGTTGGCTCCCTTATTGAGACCCTAACGCAAATCAAACATGGCGAGGGTCAAACATCGGTCTATAGTTTTGACTATCAGCTCGCTTGTCACGGTGATAACTACAACCCTCCTGGCATTAGCGATCTACGTGAATATCGCACGCCCTGTTGTCGGCAAAGTCTCACATCCTGGATTTCCAGCAGTCAACGTTGAAGCAGCCCGATGGAATATCGCCTGCACTGTCTTAGGGACAGCCGTGGGAATATTAGTGACGGCAGGCCTTGCTTACGATGATGGATCACTGACACGAGAAGCAATACTGTCTAAAGAAGGTGTTGCCCCTTTCTATCTCCGTCCCTTGACAATAATGCGTGGAATGGATCAAATCAGGCATGGCTGGTCTCATGTCACCCGTATGATCCTCATTTGTCTCACAATCGTGGCTGCGCTGTTTACAACAGCGACCGTTGCAATATTTGGCGTTCATAATGTGGAGCAATCTTTGTCAAATCCATCGGCTAGCTGGCCATTGGCAACGATCCTCGACATCGAAGCCGATGGCATGTACTCTTCAGCCGAGCTTGTGAAAACGCCCTATGATCTCAATGCTCTGGATGCCTTTTTGTTCAGAATTGCGTATATTCAGGGGCTCAATACGTCAAAGCGGCACGAATCGGAGTACCCGAAGTATCTTTCGGCCTGGTTACCGGAAACTGGACAGCTTGGAGATACACTATATCCAACTCTTCGCACAGGTGGCATTGGCTTGAATACGTCCTCATATATTGACTACACCGGAAGACCCAGGGAGGGGTTCGATGTTCCCGCGATATATACGTTCAATAAACTACATGGCACAGTATTCGGAACTCATGTCAACGTCAAATGCACTGAAGCGCCGCATTTGCTCAAGACGGAGCTAGTCTCTGCGAACGATTATGCTTTGAATACGTGGTACTATCAAATAACCACTCAGAAGGGGGCGAAGCTCGAATTTCTTGCTGATCTTGACATTCTGAAAATCGGATCTGCTCTGGTCAATTACAACGGTTTGCCCGTTCTTACGATAGCAATACCGTATGACTCGAAGAAAGCTTTCGTCACCGAATGTACCTACTCAGGCAATGACTTCGCTGCCTCTGTGTCACTTGACTCACGAGTATCTCCATTGAAAGTCTTGGGTGAGACAAGAAATGGAGCTTCCATTAATAAAGATACCAAGTGGATTCTTGCAAACTCGATGAACAATCTGCTTTCTTTGCAAGCAGGTGGGAGTCTTACTCGTGCCTGGCAGTCTACCACGCAAGAGGGACCAATGTCAACAGACCAGAGTGACGCAACGACTAGGTCTTTCCTGGAAACAATCTTAAGCCAGATGGGAGAAGCTTTGATTAGTCTTAAACGGCAGGACCTTGAAAAGGCAGATCTTTATCACGCTTTTGAATTACCGACCGGGAGTGCCATAACAGTTTTCGTTACAGTTTCACAGCTTGGAGGGGGGACTTGGCCATGGTTGAGTGTGTATATCCTGGTCCTTCTAGGTTCTTTGTTGAGCATCTTTCGTTGTTGCAAGAGACTTGAGGTTCTTGAGATTGATGTCCAGGACCCATTGAGGGTTCTCGAGGTGACCTTAGCCCAAAAAGAAATTAGCTTAAAATCTCGAATTAGGTTCAGAGAGAAACTGGAGGTCATATAATTTGATGATGGGCTCTTGCCAAGCGGAGATATGAGGGGACAGAAGAGGCCGATGAGGAACACTTTTGACGAATTCTTTCATCTTGCCCGCGAGTAATATTCTTTCTATGGTCTTGACGTCATCATTGTAGGAAACACCTCGATATCTCCATGCCAGTGGTTTAGCTTTCAGACCTCAAATTAAAACTAGATACCCCGTAGGATTCTTGATCAAGCAAATTGCCACGGTAGGAAACGAGGCACGACGGGCCACCATGTCCACGATGGCTATGAATAAGTAAGACGATATGTATCATCTGAGCCAACGAGCGAATATATTTCTTTTTCCAGAAAGAAGTATGACGTATGCATTCTTTGTTGCTTGGCCAAGAAAGTTTTTACCACCTTATCATAAGGAGCGCATCCTCAATTTCTCAACTCCACGACACTTGCATTTAGACACCAACACACATAATAGCCCAGCCAAATGGTACCCGCGCAATCAACCTCAACGCGGGGATTCCAGGTATTAAACTGCGTGGCTGCCAGTTTTGACATTTAAGTGGAAGTGTAGCGTCTTTTATTGTCATAACCACCCGTGAGGCGGAATCTATTCAGCGCAGAAAAATCTGGTCAGTTACATACTCTCTCAAAACCCCCTGCCGAATTGTATCGTCTTGGTTGACAATAAGAAATGAGTCCTTGTTATAATATAGTAAGACTTCATGAACTCTTGCGGAACATTCTACTGTATGCAAATGGCCCAAACGGAGTGCTTTGGCAATCTGGCAAGATTGTCGCCTACTTGTCCTCCTTCAAAACGCACGCAGCCATTGTCCACACTTAGACCTCTGCATAGCCCACAAATGGGCCTAGACCCCCAGCCCATAGCCCAACCCGCAGTGGGCTATGGGCTCAATCTTCAGAGCCCAACCCAACCCACAGCCCATCGATGGTTGGGCTGTGGGCCCCCATCAAAGCCCATATCTATGCACAAATACAGTCTTGGCATGTATAATGTAGCTGATTAATGACTGTATTTTACACCTGTTCCAGCCTGTATATTTAGTATTATTATATTATCACTATAACAAGTAGGAATTGAGTGGATATTATACTAAATTCGACATCATGATGCCAGATTTCATACAAATTACACAAAAAAGCTTCAATTTGACTAGGAATTTATACTATTATAGCGCCTGGGAAGATTACTGAGTATCAACATGAAGATATATATATTTTATATAGACTGAAACAGGTGCATCTTTCTGTTGAAGTATAAATTCAAGTAACAAATTCATATTTTATAGGCTTACATGATTGAATTTTATACCAACAGATAGCCCATCTCTCCTTCTTTATTTCTGCTTCTATAGATAAGTGATATTACATCTAATCTCGATGTAATGGAGGTTTCAAAATATATTATGAGCTATTGGGTGAAATATTTTGAATGATAATATTGATAAATGGACCGGGAAATGGGCTGGGAATGGGCTATCTATGGGCTTTGGATGGGCTGAACCCACTTAATATGCATGATGTAGCTAATAATATACGAGTATTATAATCATCTGTTTTAATTCAGACCAGCACTGTGATGAATTCTCTGTTTGTTGCATCAATTTGCTGTTTCCTATTATCAAGAAGGTGGCCTTTTGTAATGTATGGCCTTGAACCTATCCCCCTGAAACCCCATACCCTTCCTACTATACATTTCATACTACACAATCTTGAATTTATTATTAAATCGTCAACTGATCATGTCGCAAAGCCAGCAAACCGAGATTGGATCATCTCAGTTCGACCCATTCGAACCTGACCTCGATACTATATCATTCACTGCTTCCCAGCAGGCATTCAGCAACTACGGTGGTTCATCGTTTCTTCAGCCATCTGTTCCTTCGTCAATCGCTCTAGAAGCAGACTTTGAGTGCTTTCAACGAGTCGGTCCTGGTAAAAGACGGGATTTCTTTCTCTTCGACGCGATGAATCATAGTAATTGGGTCGATTGGTGGTTACAGACCGACTATGGATCCAACAACAAGACGCTTCTATGGGACTCCCAGCATGGTTCCGCTTCGGAGACCTGGAAACAGTTTGAACAAGTAGCGCATTCGGTTTCGGGGAGCCCAAAGGTGATGTGCAAGCGTTGCGGTCTTATCCTTGAGCATCCATATGGCATTAAGCAAGAAACTAGTGCCAATACCAATGGTGCTAGTAGAAAGGTTAGCCGTCATGGCACAACGACTATCACTCGTCATCTAGAAACTAAAGGGTGCCGAAATGCTGCAATGATGCAGAAGCAAAAGGGTATAATAAGGGGATTTGTTCAATCAGTATGTAAATGCCTATCCTTTAATATTACTTACTAACAAGGGTTAATTAGGGTTATACAGCCGAAGCACCTTTCTCGCAAGAGGCCTGGAACGATCAACTCCTGCAGTTTATTACTATAAACCGACTCCCGTTCCGACTTGTCGAAAGCCCATCCTTCCGTCGCTTAATTGCACAATCACAGTTAGCCCCAGGCCCATTGACCATACCCTGCGCTACTACAGTTCAACGTCGGCTGTCTCTTAGTGTCAAAGAACGGCAACAGAATATACTTGGGCTACTACCAAAGCACGCGAGGATCTCAGTTGCATTAGATTGTTGGACTTCTCCATTTGGGCAGGCATTTATGGCTATCACTGGCTATTTTATCGATGCTGACTGGGTCTATCGTGAGGTGCTACTTGGTTTCAAACCCCTCTATGGAACACATTCCGGTGTGAACCTAAGTGCTATCCTCCTAGAAACGGTCACTGAGCATGAAATTCGGGACCGGATCTTTGGATTGACCACCGATAATGCGTCGAATAATAAGGCTCTGGTTGATGCCCTACAGCAATCTTTGCTACAACAATCTTCAATCAATACCAAGAACACCAACATTATCCGCATCCCCTGTCTTGCACATGTGATCCAATTGAGCTTGAACCAGCTACTTGACCGTCTAAAAGCAGTCCCTCAGAATGAGACTACGGAGACCAAATGGACTGAGCAACAAGGTACCCTCGTGAGAGCGAATACAAAAAAAAGGGATATCTCGCATACTTTGAAAAGAATACGAGCACTTGCTGTTTACATCCGCGCTAGTCCTCAGCGCCGGGATTCATTCATTGCACTTCAACCTGAAGGGCAAGGGCTTATGCTTGTCCAGGATGTGAAGACTCGGTGGAATTCAACATTCCTTATGCTCTGGCGAGCTAAGAGACTCCGTATCTTTATCATGCAGTTTTGTGATCAGTTCAACGAGAAAGACTTCGCCCTTGATGATGATCAATGGCGCCAGATTGACTATCTTCTTTGTATTACAAAGCCATTCTTTGATTATACACTTGCCCTCTCAAAGACACGAGATGTAACATCACATCTTGTCTTTCAGATCTATAATCTGCTATTCGAGCATATTGAACGATCAAAGAGACAATTGGAACGAAAGCGTGTTGCATGGAAACAGCAGATGCTTACCTCTCTCGATGCTAGTTGGTCAAAGCTACGCGATTACTACAAAGAGACTGATCAAATGCGAGGGCATATCTATGCAGTTTGCACAATGCTATCGCCAGATAGTAGATTTCAATTCTTTCTTTCTGATGACTGGTCCGACTCAAAAGAACTACGGGATCAGTATCGAGCAGCATTCCAAGATGCACTTGTTCCGATCCAGCAACGTCTTGCTAGTACTCAGGGTCTACAAGAGTCTTCTACATCGACAACAAGATCAGTTCTTCACAATCTTGTTCGAAGCCAGAAATCCAACACCAAGTCAAAGCCAGTTGTTGATGAAATGACGCAGTATCTTGACGGTAGTATGTTCAATCCCAATCCTTCTGATCAAATGATTTACTAGATACTAATTTTAATATAGATGTAACTGATTCCGAGCCACTCGCATTCTGGAGAGAGAATGAATCCCGTTTTCCGGCCGTCGCTGCACTTGCAAGGGATGTTCTCGCAATCCCAGCAACAGGTGCTGGAGTAGAGCGTCTGTTTAATACTGCACGCGACGTCTGTCATTATCGCCGCGGCTCCTTAAAGCCGCATACCATCGAAGAGCTGATGCTCTATCTCTGTGCATCAAGGTTTGACCTTGAGGTACATGAATCGGAGGAATTTAGAAAATTTTTTACTACTAATGAGACCGATGTATTAGTAGAAGAGAAGGATGAGACGCCAGATGATGTCGATATTGATGAGATTAGTGATACTGAAGAGCAGGATGATATATCTGGGGATTTGATAGATGTTGATAGCGACAGTCTTGACGGAGATGATGATGATGCTGCTGCTACTGCTGCACCGCAATTACCGAGTATTCATACTCAGCAGCGTACATCAGGGAGGAAGAGGTTGCGAGTTGAGGATGATATGTATGAGCGTTATTAGTATGTATATCATGATCAGGATGTAAATATACTATTCAATCACCTAGCATCTTACTTGATATCTTATCAATCAGTCCCATAACTTAATTTATAAGCTTATAAGATGGTTCATGTACAGCTTAAATGGTAATTTGAATACCTAAAATAACCAGGGAAATATGCATTACTTATGCAGCTGCGATAAATTGGAATGTTTGCATTGTTTGGGGCCCATTATGGGCCGAAATAACCCTGGTGGGCTTTCACCTTGGGCCCATAGCCCACCAATGGGCCCGAAGGCAGGGCCCAAAGCCCAGCCCATTTGTGGGTTGGGTTGGGTTGGGCTATGGGCTTTGTGGGCTATGCAGAGGTCTATCCACACTCTATAAGAAGGCCGATGGTGGTTAGAACACAGTACTAACCCCGTTATGAGATCAAGCTTCTTTATTTCTATGAGTTCTGTTTAGACTTGGACAAAGTCCATGGGTGTTAGGCATTGCCCACCGTCCAGCCCGCTATTGACGGACTTAGTGCTTTATTTGTCAGCAAATTCTTGATGCCCCGTGACTCGCATAACTTACGCAGTTTTCCCCTCTATTTTTGGGTA